GTTGAGACGGCCGTCCCAAGTTGGGACGGCCGTCCCAACCCTCCAGATTCGGTTGGGACGCGCGTCCCGAGTTGGGACGGCCGTCCCAAGGCCAATTTCAAGTGGGACGGCCGTCCCGGACCCCGTGTGGTCCCGCTCCGTGTAAATTTGCCATTTGGGACGGCCATCCCAATCCGGACGGCCGTCCCAACCCGGACGGCCGTCCCAAAGTGCGCCAGCTGCGAAAACTATAAATAGGAGGCTCATTTGCCACTTTTTCAGACCACAGACACTCCAGAGAGCTCTGAAACACTTTCAAAAACTCAGAGCACTTGTCTACTTCTCCCCCTTCCGATTGCCTTAAATAGGTAACAATCGGTTAAGGAATTATATTCCGGCATTTGATTCTTCTTTAAATTTTTAGTGGAGTCGATCTTGTATTGGTGAGGAGAGTCTGTGTAGAGAGAGGGGTTGCCAAAACGCATCCTCACAGTTCGAGATTCTCAATACAAAGCTTGCTACAGAGGTTCTTTTCAATTCTCTTCTCTTTTATTGCTTTATTTATTGTTTTATTTAGCTTTATTTACTGTTTGTGCCATGTAGAATAAAATCATGTAGATAGCCATTTTTATATCTCTTTTATTGCTTTATTTAGCTTTATCATGTAGATAGCCATTTTAATATTATGCAATAAAATAGGGTAATCGCGTAATTTCTCGAAGTCTTCTCTTAAAATGAATTGATCTGTCATAGGGAACCTGAAAGGGGCGTTGTGGGGTGCTAACACCTTCCCCACACGTAACTAACTCCCTTACCCAACTCTGGTTATAATGGCCAAGTTTGGTTTTTCATTAAAATCAATACCTTTTATCCTTTTCCAATGTTTATGGTCAAAACATGGTGGCGACTCCATAAGAACCCCTTTTCGAAAACCTTTTAAAACAAATACGCGAGTCTAAACCATCTTTTCGCGACCGCTCGCATAAACGTTTCCAGACGTCCTCCGACGTCGAAAAGGGACGGCGGCGACAATCATTCGAAGGAAGGAGAGAAGAAGACAAGTCTTGGAGTTGTCTGGGGTGTGAAGTGTGTAGAGAATGACCTAAGGGCCTCCTATTTATAGCCTTTTTTCGCCTGGAACTTTGGGATGGCCGTCTGGGTTGGGACGGCCGTCCCAAATGCAAAATTTGCACTGAGTCAGGTTGAACGGCCAGGTGTGTTTGGGACGGCCGTCCCAATTGAATTTTTTGTTCTTGACTCCACCCCTGACAGTGTTGGGACGGCCAGTGTCATTTGGGACGGCCGTCCCAACTTTGGGACGGCTGTCTTGACCTGTTTTCAGCAGCTCTTGTGTTCTGGGACCCCCGGGAAGCTTTCTTTGCTATTTTCGGACGTAGATTGATGCCGATATATGTCCGTTGAAGCTTTATCTTTGTGTAGGAAGTCTTCTTGATCCTTGTTGAGATGTCGGGCGAGCTTTATCTTCGTGTAGGAAGTCTCCTTAGTCTTTATTGTATGGATGGGTGAAGTTCGTCTTGTTGCGGGAGGTCTTTCTCAGTTTTTGATAGGAAGCCGGGTGAACTTTATTTTCGTGTGAAGTTTCCCTAGCTTTTATTTGAGAGGCCGGGCAAAATTAGGGGTCTACAGCTGTCCCCACTTCTCCTGCCAAACTAATTTGTTGGTTTAATATACCGACAAAGTTAGTTGGTAGGGGAAGGAGTTAACCCTTTTGCCCGGTTATCCTTCGGATGCTACTCCTTTGCTGATCCTCCGGATGATAAATATTTTGATACGTACCAACCCCTATCTGGTTTGAGCCTCCTTTTATAAAGCTCTGGTGAGTACTTACCCTCACCTGGTATAAGTCTGTATTTTACTAGACTTTTGTGAGTACCTACCCACACTAGGTATGAACCCTGTTTTACAAGGTTTTGGTGAGTACCTACCCTCACCTGGTATGAGTTTGCATTTTGCTAAACTCTTGTGGGTACTTACTTCTGAGGTGCTCAACACTGAACTATCCTCTAATAGAAGCAAGTCTTTGCACCCGTTTTTTGTAATGCTTCAGGTGAGTATTTTTACTCTACCCGAGGCATTTTGCTAAGTTTTGATGAGTACCTACCCTCATCTGGTAAAAAACCTTATTTTTAAGGTTTTGGTGGGTACCTACCCCCACCTGGTACGAATCTGCATTTTTGCTAGATTCTAGTGTTTTTTACACCTCCACTTGGTGTGAACCCGCATATTGACTAGGTTCTAATGGATTTTACACCCCCATTGGGTGCAAACCTGCATCTTGACAAGGTTCTAGTGGTTTTTACACCCCCACTGGGTGGGAACCTGCATCTTGACAAGGCTCTAGTGGTTTTTACACCCCCACTGGGTGTGAACCTGCATCTTGACAAGGCTCTATTGTGCGAGTCTGCATCTTGACGGACTCTAATGGTTTTTACACCCCCACTGGGTGCGAACCTGCATCTTGACAAGGCTCTATTGTGCGATTCTGCATCGTGACGAACTCTAATGGTTTTTACACCCCCACTGGGTGCGAACCTGCATCATGGCAAGGCTCTATTGTGCGAGTCTGCATCTTGACGGACTCTAATGGTTTTTACACCCCCACTAGGTGCGAGTCTGTATCTTGACAGACTCTTTAGGATGTATTCTTTTGTAATTCATCCTATGGTCATCTGGTTTTGAAGATGTGTTTGGCGGCTTATTGTCTTTGATCATGCGCCTATTCCTTGGGGAATGATTTGATTTGACTTTTCTGTTAGTCGTCCGATTTTACCGGGGTTTCTTTGTTTTTTGGCTTTTAGCCATCCGGCTTTGCCGGGGATTCTTGTTT